TTTTTTTTTGTAAGTTGGGTTTAGATTCTTTTCTTTTTGTAGGTTGTTTCAGTTTTGTTGCTTCAGAGTCTTCTTTTTTTGTAGGTCAGTTTTGGATTTATTTTGTTGTTCTGGTTTCTTTTTAATCAGACGCTTCATAATTCTTTTCTTTTATGTAGGTCAGACATTCTGGAGTTCTCTTTCTTTTTTTGTAGGAATGCTGACCTTTGGTGACTTGGACGATTGCAGATACTATATGAAGGGGGGTTTTGTTTCCAATTAAGTCAGACGTTCTTATGTTTCTTTTTTCTTTTTTGTTTTTTTAGGTTGTTTGACTCCAAATGAACATTCTTTAGCTCATATTTTTTAGGCCTTCCAAATTCTTCTAAACGATATTTGAAATTTTCAATAGTTGATCTCCTCCGATCAATTTTGTACAGTTAAATTTTTGATAGTTTGAACTTCCTTTTGAATAATTGGTAATACCTGAAATACTTGTTTCTAAAGCCCCTCCTGCATTTGTATTTATAGCAATTTCTTTCAAATGTTCTGTAAATTTTCCAGTTGATGTTATATGTTTATTAAAATGAACTCTACCACCTAAATAACTCTCGTCGGAATAAAGTGACCATATTCCTCAATAATTTGTTTAAATTTCTCAGTGGGGTCTTTAGAAACTATAGCTCCCTCCACTTCTTTAATAAAATCTGGAGTTAGTTCTAAATATTTAATAAATTCTAAAGCTTTAGCGTGCTTTATAAAATGATAGGAGCTGCTAGTTTCATAATTAGATTTGTTATTTTCTGTACTCCCTGTTGAGTGTTGACATTCCTAATTTTACAAAATTATCTACATTAAAATTTGCGGTAAAAAATAAGTTTGTTATCTTCATTCGCTCTTCTGTTGACTTAAATTCAACACCCCTTTTTCACATCCTTCTTCACCAATCCTTTCAATTCACAATTTTTCATTATGAATGCTCTTTTATTTGCTTTCTTAATTTCATCAAAAGCCATAATCCAATTTATTTTTTTCATTTAAATGGTTCCAATCAACACATGAATTCATATATAAGATACCTTTATCAATAATTTTGCATAATTTAATTTTTCTTTCATCTTTAAGTTCTATTTCAGGAAGAGCATCAATTTTTTCATCATTTTCAGAATATTTCCATAAAAATTTTAATAACGTATCGTTAATATCATAATCTTCTTTGAGCTTTTGACGAGTTATTAATAAATTGTTTGCAGTATTTAAAAGGACTACTTTAGACTTGTGTGATGGAGAAATTTTTAATATAATTTCCTCTTTAGCATCATATGTAAGGGCGAAAACCAATTTAAATATGGATAATTAAAAAGACAATGAATTTCAAAAAAAAAGAAAAACTAAGTTGGCGTATCTCCTTCGTCACACAATGTTTTGATGTGCATATATTGCATTCTCAAAAAAAGGAAATTGTGACAATATTTCGGACATTTATCCTTATTAAGCAAATAATGAACCTGTACGGCATATTAGCAAATATCACGTGATCTTGCGTATATGATTGTCTCATGATTATCTCATAACGCCACGCCGGTCTTTCATATTCAATACAAAATACAAAATGGAATTAACTCAAAAGCCTGAAAAGTGGAAATACAATGACGAATATCAGGTAAAAGTAATTTTTTTAATTTTATAACGATAGATGATGTAAAATTTTAATATTAATTACATATTATTATTTAATAAAAAAGGTACATGTTTCTAATTCTTTAACTGAATCAGACAATGTTGATGAAAAAACAGTCTACATGGAAGATTTAAAAAAAAGAGAAGAAGTATATGGGATATGTGCTGAATGTAATGAACCTGGCACAGGAAAGGAATGGTGTCAACCTTGTAACGCTAGAAGGTTTGAGAAAAATTTTATAAATTGGACCAGCGGAAAAAAAGATATCGATGAATTAATACAGAATTCACAAATTACTGCCGTACATTCTACAAAATGTCTTGAATGGATACCCTACGAAAATTTTAAAAATATTGTTCCTATTAATAAAGGAAGCTCCAGCAAAATTTATTCAGCTGACTGGCCCGAAGGAAATATTTTTTCATGGAATATTGAATATCAAGAATGGAAGCGTTATTCAAATAAAAAAGTTGCACTAAAAAGTTCAGCTAATTCTTCTGATATAAATATAGACTTTTTAAACGAGGTAATTAAAAAAAAAATTAATTTTGAATTGTATTATGAATTGAATTTACTAAGATGTTATTTAATTTATTGTTGAAATTTATGTTAGGTTAAATTTCATATTCAGATTTATACAAAGAATATTATTCAATGTTATGGTATAACACAAGATCCGAATACTAAAGATTATATGATGGTTTTACAATATTGTAAAGATGGAAGTTTAAGAGATTATATATATCAATCTGAAAAGCATATAAATTATTTTCTAAAAATTGACCATTTATTTCAAATTTCAAGAGGTCTTTTATACATCCACAAATCTGGAAAAATACACAGAGATCTTCATTCAGGCAATATACTATTCGATAATATTCCGTATATAAGCGATTTTGGATTGTGTCAATCAGCAACCAATAATAAAAAACAAGAAGTTTATGGTGTGACACCTTATATAGCTCCAGAAGTTTTGCGTGAATATAAGTATACAAAAGCAACTGATATATATTCATTTGGAATATTAATGAATGAATATATATCGCAAGAATTTCCTTATAACGATATTCCTCATGATCATATTTTGACAGTTAATATATGTAGCAAAGGACTTAGACCAAAAATTTCCGAAAATACACCAAAATTATTTGCAGATTTGATCACTAAATGCTGGGATACTAAAGCAGAAAATAGACCAACTGTTAAAGAATTATGCAAAACTTTAAATATATGGAATAAAGAAAAATATAATAATAATAGTGAAATATATTTCCAAATAAATAAATGTAAACAAAATGAAAGTATTCGAACACATTTAGTAGAGAATTTATCATCTGAACAACAAATAATTCAACAACTTAAGTTAAATCATGGATTATTCTTAGATGGATGTAGTATAAAACCTAGTGAACACGCTATATTCGTTGAAGATGGCGAATTAAGTATGAGTTTATATGATGATCAACCCATAGTGTATATTTCCGTAAACGAATCTGTAAACGATCATGACTCTTGCATAAATTCATTGAGTTTCAATTCTGATGAAAGCATTAATTATGACAAAACTTTACAACCATCAGATATATGTATTAATTTTCCAGTTGCTGAAATTACTTATACTGCTAATTTAACAGAATCCTTTCTAAACTCTTCATATGATGTTACTCCATTATCTATAAAGTATGGACATCTATTTGCAAGAAAAATTTTGGTTGGTGGTAAAATATTTATCGATGACCTTGAATTGGCCACTTCAACACAAGAAGACTTGTTTAAATCTTACTTAACTTGGGCATATAGTTTAGCTAAGTATAATAAGGAAAACCCATTTACAAATCTACTTACCCCAGATGATTTTTTTCCAAGGATAAGGACATTAGATGGAGAAAATTTAAATTCTTATGATAAATTAACAAATTGGATGATGAATTTGTATAAAAAGAATATAGTTGATATTATTTCATATAATGATTTCATTCTCGTTTCTGAATTGAGGTCCAATAAATCATCATCAATAGATGAGAAACAACCTGGAGTTTTCAATTTTAAAGAGAGATTAAGTTTTGAAGATTGGGCAGTATACGCTAATTTAATAAGATGGATTAATGAAAGTCATCTTTTCCAAGGTCTAATGATTGATAAGCAATTTGAATTAATGCGTAGCAAAAAAATGGCTATTAATTTTACCAAAATCCCCAAAGTAGAATCAAGTAATAAGTTTTATATGAAGATGATGAGTCCAACTACAAAGGTAGAAGAATTCTTAACATCTAATAATATTTTTTCAATTAAAGATGTAGAATCTTTTCCATTTATTAAAGAACTTATTAATTCTGAAAATATAAGTTATAAAGATTATGTTCATTTTTTGGTGAAGCTTGAGCAATATAGAATTACATCTGACATTTCACCTTCAGAAGAATTCAAGCAAGCTATAGAAAAAGCACTTGAAAGTATGAAGCCACTTATGTGTTTACAAGATGTATTTGACGAATATGGGCATTTTTTTCCATTAAATGTTGTCTTAGGAAAATCTCTTAAGAATATTTTACCAAACTCCTTACCATACAAGATTGATTTGAGAACGGTATCAGTTGATTCTTTAAAATCACATTTAGATAAATTGAATATTTCGTATCTTTTAACCGAAAAAGGAGACGTTATTGATAAAAATAATTTATCTAATTGGATTCAAAATACAAATGATGATCTAGAAGTCATTGAGTTTGAAAATATAGTTTCTTTACACCGTATTCTTGAAATAGAGCAACAGAAGAAAATAGATGTCATTTTAAATAGGAAGGGTAACCTTAAAATTATAATGACGGGTATTGATGAATTGAAAGATTTAAATATTAACAATACTGAACATTATAAACGAATAAACATAGAACCATCATTGGAAGATGAGGATTATGAAGTTTTTGGATCAGTTATTTCGAAATATAATTTAAAATCAGAGGATTTTTTGGTTACATTTGAATTATATGACATTAATGGATTTTCTATAATGATCAAAACTTTAAAGAATACAAACATTAATATTACGGAATGTTATATTTTGTGGATGGTTATTGGAAATCCTTCAAAATTATCAGTTTTTAGCCCGAGGAATCGAGAGTTTCAAGTTGATTGTATTAAAGAGTCTGTAGAATTACAACCCAATAATTTTTACTACCCAGTTAAAACTTCTTATGAACTATCTGAAGGATGTACGATTTCCGTCAATGCATACTGTTCAACAGCAAATTATGAGCCTATAAATATTAAAATTAAATTGGCTGGTTGGTCAGAAGATTGCATTTATTTACAAATAATCGAAACAAATTTAGATAGTTCAGATATTTCTGATGATTATGATCAACTCACAAGTATTGAAATAACCGTATGTGTTTTATATTCAAATTATGAAAATTTGGAGATTGATAATAAGGAAGTTGAATGTTCTCTTAATTTAATTGGTTGCATTTTAACCGAAAGTACCAAAGGTATGAGAAATTTATTATTAAGCTTTTTTCTTCGTTTCAAAAAATTATAGATTTTCATTATGTTTTGTACTATATCATCAAATAGTTATTCCATTTTCAAAATTTTTTCCTTTAATTTCTGAAATCAGTAATATGTTTAATGAAATTATTGAAATAACGCAAACTGCTGAACATAATAAACGAATTTGTGATATATTAAAACAACGAATTGACGCTGCAGATTTGGCAGTGCGTAATCTTAAAATTAAAAAAAATAATCAAGGATTTTTCAATCATAATAACTATATTTATTTACAAAATTTAGTTAATGTTATAACACACATTAAAAATTTTATGTCAGAAATTTCTCAAATGAAAACTTTGTTAAAATATATACAAGCAAAAAGTATTGAGAAAACTTTTGATGATTTACGTAAAGATTTTGATAATTGCATTAATTCATTAGCTTTTACCATCACTATTAAAAATTCTTATGAGCTCGAACAATTAAAAGCTGATCAAGAAGATTTAACTAAGGTAAGTATAAATTTATCCCTGAAAATAATATATGAAAACATATTTAACATATTTATTATTTATAATTAATAGTATCTGGAAAATACATCTAATGACAATATAACAGAAGTTGAAACTATCATGAAATTAAAAAATAAGAATTCCTTAAATATACCAAAAACTAATAATAATTCCTATGCACATCAACTAGAAATTATTGATTATGAAAAAACTGAAGAGAAACCACGTAAAAACGGACGTGTGACAAAATGGGTTAGTGCTAAAAATAAAAGTGAAGGATTCGCTTTTAAAATTATTCATGAGGAAGAAAAAAATACAGTACAAAATCAAATCACAATTCTTAAAGGGCTTCATGATTGGCAAAATATTATAAGAATTTATGGACTTACTTGTGAGGGAAATATTAAGTTTTTGGTATCTGAATGGGCCAAATATGGGAATTTACGTGAATATTATACAAACTATAAAGATCGATTCAATCTTAGATTAAAATTACGTATTTCTCTTGATATCGCTCGCGGATTAAATTATTTAAGTTCCGTTGAGGTAATTATTATAAAATTTTCCTATTAATTTGATGAACTTTCTAATTTTTTTTTTAATAAATCTAGATTGTACATCGTGACATTAGAACTGAGAATATATTAATTACATTATACGAAACAGCAAAACTAGCAAATTTTAAATTAAGCCGTTCATTATCCGCATCCACACTAAAACAAAGTCAAAATTTAGAACGAGTTCGTTATTGCGCCCCTGAATTACTAAAGAGGGCTCACAACTTCAAATATGATCATAAATGTGAAGTTTATAGCTTTGGAATTTTACTTTGGGAAATTGCAGAAGAAAGGACTCCTTATAAACAATATAAGGATATTGTAAAAATAACCGATATGGTTTGTAATTATAAATATCGAGAATCTTTTTCTAAAGATAGCCAAATGCCTTCATCATTTATAAACTTGGCGCTTAAGGGTTTGTAAATATATGTGTATGATTTAGTTTTATTACCATAAAATAATAATTATTATTCCATTTTTAGCTGTTGATCATGATCCAAAATTTAGGCCAGAAATCTCAAAAATGCTTGAAGTTCTCAATAACTGTTTTGAGGAATCTAAAACCCAGGTTTCATATATACCTGATATTCCGCAAAACCTAGAAGCTACTTCAAAACATATACTCCAAAATGAATATGCCATTTTAGATGATAATTTACAAAATCTCACTGTAGCATCAAGCTCATCAAGCTCAACTATTGTCGAAGAGATTGTTCCATTTGCAAAATTTCATCCTTTAATTAATGAAATAAGAAGTATCCTTAATGAGATTATTGAAATAACTCAAGTTGCTGAGCATAATAAACGAATTTGTGATGTATTAAAACTCCGAGTTTATGCAGTAGATTTGGCAATATTTGAACTTAATGTTATGAGAAATAACCAAGAATTTTATAATAGAAGAAACTATTCAAGTTTACAAAGTTTAATTTCTGTTATAATGCAAATTAAAAAATTTATTACAGATATTTCTCAAATGAAAAATTTAATAAAATTAAAATATGTACACCCAGAAAAAATTGAGAAAACTTTTAAAGAATTATGCAGAGAATTTGATATATGCATAATTAATATTGATTTAGTGAGTTTCAGAGATATGGTTAATAATAGAATTAATAGAATTCGACCCGATGAATCATTAAAATCAGATCAAGATTTTTCTAATGTAAGTTATATATATGTATATTATAAATCAATTCTAATAAATTATTTTTCTTTTTTAATACATTACTATATTATTTAGTATTTTGCAAAAATTATTGAAGAAATTGGAATTGATATTAAAGAATTATCTAACGAATTTATATCGATGGTTTTAAAAGTCGACGCGATGAATAATACGATGGAAAAACTTTTAGATGAAAAAAACTATTCAAAAAATGATAATGATAAAAATGTTAATGACAAATCAAATGAAATGATTCAATCGAAGATTGATAAAATCTTCGTAATACGCCAATTAAGAATATCCGATTATGAAAAAACTGATGAGAAACCACGTAAAGATGGACGCGTGACTAAATGGGTTAATATTAAAAATGAAGGTGAAGAAGTTGCGTTTAAAATTACTTCTGAGAAAGAAAGAGCTAATATACAAAATCAAGTTACAATTCTTAAAGCTCTTCATGATTGGCAAAATTTTGCAAGAATATATGGACTTACGTGTGAAAAAAATAAATGGTATTTGGTATCTGAGTGGGCCGAATATGGTAATTTACGTGAATATTACACAAATCATAAAGATCGATTCGACATTAGATTGAAATTACGTATATCTCGTGATATTGCTTGTGGATTAAATTTTTTAAGAACTTTTGATGTAAACATCATTAATGTTTTCATTTATTTATTTACTTTTTACTTTTTTTAATTTTTTTTAATTTATTTTTGTTTTTCTTTTTAGATTGTGCATCGTGATGTTAGAGCCAAGAACATTTTAATTACATTACACGAAACAGCAAAACTAGCAAATTTTAAATTTAGTCGTTCATTATTCGCGGCTACATTAAAACAAAGTCAAAATTTAGAACGAGTTCGCTATTGCGCTCCTGAATTATTAGAGAGAGCCCACAACTTCAAGTATGATCATAAATGCGAAGTTTATAGCTTTGGAATTTTACTTTGGGAAATTGCAGAAGAAAGAACTCCTTATGAACAATATAAGGATATTGTAAAAATTACTGATATGGTTTGTAGTCATAAATATCGGGAATCATTTTCAAAAGATAGCCGAATGCCTTTATCATTCATAGATTTGGCGCTTAAAGGTTTGTAAAATATGTGTATGTTTCAGTTTTTCATTCTAAAATATTAATCATTCCATTTTTAGCTGTTGATCATGATCTAAAGCTTAGGCCAGAAATTTCAAAAATGCTTGAAGTTCTCAATAACTGTTTTGAGGAATCTAAAACCCAAGTTTCAGAAGAGATTGTTTCATTTTCAAAGTTTCTTCCTTTAATTAATGAAATAAGAAGTATCCATGATGAGATTACTGAAATAGCCCAAGCTGCCGAGCATAATAAACGAATTTGTGATGTATTAAAACTCCGAGTTTATGCAGTAAATTTGGCAACATTTGAACTTAATGTTATGAGAAATAACCAAAAACTTTTTAACAGAAGAAACTATTCAAGTTTACAAAGTTTAGTTACTGTTATAACACAAATTAAAAAATTTATTACAGATATTTCTCAAATGAAAAAATTAAAATACGTACAACCAAAAAATATTGAGAAAACTTTTAAAGACTTATGTAAAGAATTTGATATATGCATAATTAATATTGATTTAGCGAGTTTCAGAGATATGGTCAATAATAGAATTCGATCCGAAGAAGAAACTAAATCATTAAAATTAGATCAAGAAGATTTATCTGATGTAAGTTAAAAAATATATATGTATATTATAAATTAATTCTAATAAAATATTTTTCTTTTTTAATACATTACTATATTTATTTAGTATTTGGCAAAAAATATTGAAGAAGTTGGAATTGATATTAAAGGATTATCTAACAAATTTACCTCGATGGTTGTAAAAGTCAACGCGATGAATAATGCGATGGAAAAACTTTTAGATGAACAAACTAAACAACAGTCAAAAAATGATAATGATAAAACTGTTAATGACAAATTAAAACAAATGATTCAATCGAAGATTGATAAAATCTTCGTAATACGTCAATTAAGAATCTCTGATTACGAAAAAACTGATAAGGAACCACGTAAAGATGGGCGCGTGACTAAATGGGTTAATATTAAAAATAAAGGCGAAGAATTCGCTTTTAAAATTGTTACTGAGGAAGAAAGAGCTAATGTACAAAATCAAGTTACAATTCTTAAAGAACTTCATGATTGGCAAAATATTACAAGAATTTATGGACTTACGTGTGAAGGGAATAAATGGTTTTTGGTATCTGAATGGGCTGAATATGGTAATTTACGTGAATATTATACAAATTATAAAGATCGATTCGATATTAGATTGAAATTACGTATGTCTCGTGATATTGCTCGTGGATTAAATTTTTTAAGAGCTATTGAGGTAAACATTATGAAGTTTTCATTTATTGCTTTACTTATTTATTTACTTTTTTAATTGATTTTTTTGTTTTTCTTTTTAGATTGTGCATCGTGATATTAGAGCTGAGAATATATTAATTACATTATACGAAACAGCAAAGTTAGCAAATTTTAAATTTAGTCGTTCATTATTCGCAGCTACATTAAAACAAAGTCAAAATTTAGAACGAGTTCGTTATTGCGCCCCTGAATTACTAGAGAGAGCTCACAACTTCAAATATGATCATAAATGTGAAGTTTATAGCTTTGGAATTTTACTTTGGGAAATTGCAGAAGAAAGAACTCCTTATGAACAATATAATGATATTGTAAGAATAACTGATTTGGTACGTGACAAAAAATATCGGGAATCCTTTTCAAAAGATAGCCGAATGCCTCAATCATACATGGAATTAGCGAATAAAGGTATGAAGGATTATATGCATATATATATGCATTATTAAATTTTATTAATGATTTATCTGTTTTTAGCCGTTAATCATGACCCAGAATTTAGACCGAAAATTACAGATACATTTGAAGTACTTAGTCGTTGTTTTGAGGAATATGAAAAACCTCATTCAAAATCTTCTTCAAATCCTAAAAGTTCACAATATCAAAATATCACACTTTCAAGTTCAGAACCTATTCCAAATCCAGAAAGCATCATAAATCGAGATGAATATGCTATTAAAACTTCGTCCGATTATGAATTGTTCAAGTACATGACACTTGCTGAGGCGGCAAAACAACATAAGATGGTTGATAGGCAAGGTAAACCAGGTGACACAAAGACTGCATATAAGTGTTTTGAATCATATGCGGATGCCGATACTACAGTTCGTAACAAAATAGTAGCAAAATATTATAAAGCTTATTACATTTCAAGAGGATTAGTTGATAATATCGAAGTCAAGGACAAAGATAGAATTGTTGCTGAATTATATAAAGAAGTTGCTGATGATGAAGCAAATGAATTTCCTGAAGCGAAATTAAGGTATGGTGACTGCTTATATAATGGTAAAGGTGTTGAAAAGAATTTGCCAGAAGCTCTTAAATATTTCGAAGAAGCAGCTGATAATGGTTATAAGGTAGCAATGTATAATGCTGGAAAATTATATTATAATGGCTATGGTGTTGAGAGAAATAAGGAGAAAGCTATTAGATATATGAAATTAGCTATTTATAATGAATATGAACCTGCCATGAAATTTTGCAGAGATAATAACATTAATTTAAATTAATTAATAACTATAATTTTTGTTCATGATAGATTTTCTTCTCCCTATAAAAAATAATTGTTCATTAAACGTTCAAAAAATGGTAATTATTTGTTGTTCATTAATCAACTGAAAATCATTCATTATTTGTACATAATTTTACACATGATATATACATGGTATGTAAAAAAAAATGAGCCCAAATTGAATGTTATATAAACATATTTTGCTTAAATTTTGTTTATAATAAACTGAAAGAAATTTGTTTATTTATAAGTTCAATTAATGTATATAACACGTACTTGGTTAAAACAAGGCGTGGATCTGCAAAATTTTACGTTGTAATGCCGTAACATACCTAGTAAATTTATTAATTGTGGGGCGCAGTATTATATTTAGAATTAGTGTATAAAAATTTAAAATTGTATGACCTTATAAATGTAACGTCCGAGGCGTTAAACTAACTAATTGGTTATTGAGTCACATGATTAGAATATCAAATGACAAGGTTACGCAGGAAATTGTGTAATCATGAACATGAAAATCATTTTATTGATGATGTCAAATAGCGCATCATAAGTATTAGCTAAGGAATGAATAGAAATGGAGTATAAGAAAATTATAAAAAGGGTACGGATTTGACCAAGTTAAACCAAATTACGAATGTTGAGAATAAGTATTAATTATAATTTACCTATAGAATAGTATTAATTCGATTCTTTTTGCCTTTTTCTTATGATGAAAAAGTGCCAAATTAATTAAATTAATGGTATCATCGGGAAATTTTTACAGGTGATATATAGCGATATATATCACTTTATCGATATATATCCCATTATTTATAAAATGTGATATATATCGATAATAATTGCACTCGTCGATTATTAATGATGTGATTAAATCATCACTAACGATTATTATCTTATGGTAAAATAACGTTAGATTATTTATTGTATTAAATAACATTATATTATTTATTGTTAGATAACGTTAAATTACATTGCAGAAATTTTTAAAATCGAAACCATATCGTGACCAAGTCAAAATTTTATCATAGACCTTATAACCAAGGCTGGTCATGACATTGTTACAATAAGTTCAAGTCAATCGTATGTATAAAGTTGACGCATATTAAGGAGATCATCACCTGATTTAACCGGGTCATACAAAAATAAGTATCGATATTAGTAAGTTATGTTAAATAGATTTTTACTGAATATTAAATATAACTTTAATATACATTAAATATAACATTAAGTTGTATTTAATGTGCGATAAAAATATATTAAAGTTATATTTAATGCATATTAAAGTTGTATTTAACATTTGTAAAAGTTATATTTACTATATAATAAAATTGTATTCGAAGTTACATTAAATGTATTAAAATTATAATTTCGATATCACAAATAAATTTTAAAGTGTCTATAAACTTTAAGAAAAATGAAGTGTTCTATTCTAAATCCAATTGTATTCAAATCAGTTGTTCTAAATTTTAGATAAAATGAAAATTGTTCTATGAACGGTAATTAATAAACAATTAATAAATACTAGCACTTTGGTTATTTCAGCAGTTCAAGGAACTGATAACCTTAAGCAAGAAAGAGGAGAAGCATGATATGAAGAAGCATGATACAAAACTGATTCCGCGTATACCAGAAGTGACACATCATGCAAACCTTTTGGAAACTCCACTAGTCCACTTCAAAGAATTTTTGCAGAATTAGATGGAATTAGTAAGTATCAGAAAAGAGATAAATTCAAGGATAGAGGTCCAGCGAATGATGTGGAATGATCGATGACAGTATCTGAGGATAAAGTGGTAAATACGATTAATTAGTACAGGAGAGATTTAGTTGTAAATGACTTTAAAGAAAAATTGGCAAAGGAAGAAGCACTAAAGAAAGATAATGTCTCAATGAAAGAAGTGGTAAATATCATCAACAAACAAAAGAAGGAACAAAAATTGTTAGTTCTGTACTAACATAGTACGTTGCTTCACGGCATCTCGAATTTTGATAGACAAAATGAGGGTTATTAGTCCCAAGGTCAAGAAATTAGCAGAGGTTTTTATGATAGCAGGAGAAGAAATGGAATGGAAAAAGATCGAAATGTCAGATGAAGGTGGAAGAGATGGCAATGAAGATTAAATCTCTAGAATCCACAATTAAGCTTCAAGAAAAATTGATTAAATAGGCAGAATCACATGATTTAATGCAAAATAAAGTATACGCAGCTTAATGTGAATTTTGAAAAGAGAGTTAAGGAAGAGAATAGGGAATGAAATGAGACGAATATAAATGATAAGTGGGCGGTAAAGAGTCCAAAAGATAAACAGTTCGAGAAAAGATGGTGAGTAAAAAGTAAGTAGATTAGGATAGTGTTTGATATTAATCTGTGTTAAAGATTTAACATTAAAAATATTTGACATAAAATAAAGATTAATATAGGGTTAAGGACTTTTTTAAGATGTATTATATTGATCTTTCAAATTTCATGTAGTAGGTAATGGTATTATAACTTTACCATATGAGGTGAAAATTTTGGTATTGAGGGAGGAAATAGGCTTGTTCTTGAGTCTTATTTCCAAACTCTTGATGTATTTTATAGATTTTTATGTTCTTCATCATATAAATAATAAAGTATATCATTTTACCAAAAAAAAAAAAAATTTGTTGTAGGCATTAGAATAATGCAACTTACATAACAGAAAATTAGTGATTCGGTGATATTCTTGAAATGGTGGCAAATTTACTAAAAGAATATGGTATTTGTCCGTTGCTAAGAGGTTGGTCAATGATCACTTCTTTATTTGAATTCGCTTTCAAGCCTATGTCATCATCGTCCACTTCTTCATTTTCTATATCAATAGTTGGTGTCATTTCTCTGTCTTCATCATAAATATCCATGAGTCATTTCCAGCAACATTTATATTTTCTAGAAGAGTAAAAATGTTCAGTTGGTTGGAAAAGATAAGTATAAAAAATTTAAATTTTTATCGTATTTAGAGATGATAATTATATATTATTATAATTTACCGCTTGTATTAAAATTTATTTCATTCAACGTCGATGATATATTAAACACGTTGTATCATTGTCTAATATAACTACATCGACTACTATTAGGAACATATTGACTTCTAAAGCGAATAAAGAAAAATGCCAAAAGGAAAAACACATGAAAAAAAGAGATTATACTAACTGAGCTGGCCAATCAGAACCAGTTTTAGGGATCAGAGTATAACATCACATGACATTTTGTTTTATGATATACTGTCGTGGTATGGGGAAAGTCAAGTAGTTTCAGCCTTAAAACAATTGGGAAAAGTTAGCAATTCAATTTCAGCTCTTACCAACTAGTATTTGTGGTGTTTTTTAATTCTAATTTGATTAAGAGATTATGAAAAATTATTTTTAAATGAAATGTGAAAGGTACAAATATTGGTTGAAAGCAACGAAAAAAACAAAAAAGTTATATTTGCGCATTGGTTTCCAGGATATTACACAGCTAAAACTATAAAAGAGAAGTGCAAATGGAAGGTACTCATACAAGGTGATTCATATTTCATACGAGTTACTATCAAGACGTAGCTAAAAAGAATTATATTTTTGAATATGAAAAATTGGAGCATTTTGGAAAAAAAGATGGTATACTTTGTATACTCCAAAAATAAAAATCAGCTGGGCGCAGCTATTGCTTTGAATGAGAACGCGGATCAAACTTGGATTATTCATGGCAAGAAATATAGTGGAGTGACGATGGCACCCTTAATGGAGGGACCTACTAGTGCTCTCGTCCACGAATTTTAATGAAGATAAATCTGCCAATCAACAAAAACAAACAGTCATAACGCCAGCAACTGTAGATACGATTGATACAGAAGAGATAGTTGATATGGTAAATAAGTTAGAAAAAACTTATTGGATGAGAGTCCATCACGAAGCGTTTCAACTTCAATAAAAGATTCTATTTCTCCAGAAGTAGTAGTTGAGGTAGTAAAAGATTTTAGGGCAGAAAGGGGAGAATAAATCAGATGTTGGAGCTTGAGTTGCAAAAGGAGGCTATGGAAGTAAATAAAAAATATGGTTTCAATATACAAGATCTGGCGTCTTACAAAAAATAAACAATGAAGTTCATTTTTTAAATTTAAAATAAAAAAATCCCCTCCTCCTTCCTCCTTTCCCCATTTCTTAACTTAAAGTCCAGTTTTGTTTCAAGCTAGAATCCTTCTACATGTCCTACAAAAAATAATGAAAAAACATTAGTTTGTTTCTTAAAATAAAAAGAAAATAAATCCCCCTTCCATTTCTTAACTTTAAAGTCCGGTTTCATGTCCAAGTCGGCGTCCTACAAAAAAAAACAATTAAGTTCATTTCTTAAATTTAAATAACAAAAAATCCCCTTTTCCTTCCCCCTTTCTCCATTTCTTATCTTTCATGCATCCTCCTACGCGTTCTACAAAAAAAAATAGCGAAAAAAACATTAGTTTGTTTCTTAAAAAATAAAAAGAAAATAAATCCCCCTTCCGTTTCTTACTTTAAAGTCCAGTTTCATGACTGCTGGCTTCCTACAAAAAAAAACAATGAAAAGAAACATTAGTTCATTTCTTAAATTAAAAAAAAAGGAAATAAATTTTCAAAGCAAATATTTGCTTCAAAACTTACCAATTCTTTCCAAGAAGCTAATAAGTGGCGTCCAACGACAAGAAATCCAACTAAAAAGTCCAATGCTGAAGGAACTGGATACCTAAAAAAAAAAGATAAAATTTAAAAAATAAAGAAAAAAGTTATTAGATAAGTTTCGAATAGAAACTTACCATATTGGCATATTCGAATCCAAGCTGAAGGAACAAAAAAAAAGGATAAAATTTTAAAAAAATAAATAAAAAAAAAAATATGTAAGTTTCGAAATGAACTTACAGTACTTCCAAGAAAAAGAGGCGAAGGAAAGATGTGAGAAAAAAGGTAGAAAAGGAAGGGGAAAACGAAAGGGGAAGGGAAGGACAAAAGAGAAAGGGAATGAAAAGAATCTTAAATTTATTTTGCTATTGTTAAAAAACGTGATGATTCACATGACCAATCAGCAAAAATTTTACCAAGATAGAAATAGTAGATCATTACTAATTAGTCGAATAATTTTTAATTTTGGCCAAATATAAGCCAAATTTTTATAAGGTTTATTGATTAATTAAATAAAAAAAAATTAATTGAGATTCATCGTTGAGTAATATTTATTTTTTCGGCTAAATTTTAATGACAATTACCATCACTTCACCACCTATTCACCACCTATTCACCACCTATTTAATAGCATTTTACAACTTCATAGAGATATTTTATCGACAATTTCACGAAATCATTTGATACCAACTACCCCAATGGCACCCAAAAAATTCTTTGAACTCAGCCAGCGTTATGCACTGACACGTGATCGAAGAATTTAGAATGTGATGAATAACACGTGACAAATAGAATATCATCTACTTGAAAAAATTGTCCTCAGATAAATATAAACAGTGAAACTTGTTCAGGGGTGTGACGATGTGATAAATAAAAACAGATCACGTGATCAAAGAATTTTTCTGGGTGCTGTTAGGTTATATTTTGATACCACGTCATTACATGTTGGATTGTTGGGTCATCGGGCTGGATGTGGGAGGTGCAAGCACCACCTACCTCTGGGTCTACGACCCGTCGCAGTACCTATATGGCCCCTACGAGGCTCAGGAATCCCTCATATATCCTCCACAATCCTCCACATAGATCCTCCACAAAAATATATAACAAAAAAGAATAAAATAAGGGAAAAGAGAGGAAAATAAGAGGGAATCAGAAGAGTGTGGAGGATGTGGAGGATGTGGAGGATGTTTTAAAAAAATCAGGAGAGGAATTCCCCCAGAAAAAAGTTTTGATTTTACCCCCCCAGATCCTCCACATCTGGAACATCTTCCACACGTACAGGATTCCATTAATTTTCCTATTGGAAGCAGTGAGACAGCAAACCAGGTAGGTTAGCAGGTAAGCTCCTAGAAGGTCTATAGAGCCAGTAAGACCAACCCCATCCTGCCCCCGTCAGAAAAAATAAGTAATTGAACAATGGGTATACCAAGACGATTCAAATGATAAAGAATGCTTTTAGAAGGCAGTACTAATCTGTCTTTCTCTTTTTTGCCTCCTTAAGGCATTTATCAATGCACTGTTTACATGCATCATTGGCCTCTAAAATTTTCTGCCCGAGTTTTTTACATTGCCAATTATAAACCGTCTGATGCCTTTTGGCCGCAGTTTCTTTTTTCTTCTCCTTAGTCTTCTTTTTGATTATCCAGTCTATTCCAGTAAAAGTATTTTTATGCATACCACAAATTGTGCAGTCACCATGCAGCCGGTAACACCCATTTGTAGTCATATCTTGTATTTCACTAGCTGTCTCAGTTTTCTTCTTGCACTTTAGGCAGTAAAAATGTGTCATCTTAAGATTTGAAGTCTAAAACCATTCTTTTAATTTGTCGTAATATGTCACACTTAGAGAATTACTATAAGTACTACAATCTCTCTGGAATATCAGCATGAATTCTAAAAGGTGAAGAGCACTACAACCTATACAAAAAGCCCCTAAAGGAAAAGTCAACAGAACGCCCAAAGGTAATTGTATGGAAACCAAATGCAACACATCAGGCAGATCTTGCAGAGATGCCAGTTGACCTCAAAGGATTCCACTATTTTCTCGTAGTGGTGGAAGTTGCAGGAAAGAGAGTCGATGCAGAACTCCTAAAGGATAAGACTGCAAATAGAGTTCTAAATGGATTTGTTAAAATCTACAGAAAAAATCGTATTAAGCCTCCTACACATCGACTGGAAACTGACTCTGGATCAGAATTCACCAATGATCAGATACGTAATTTTTTCCTGAACAGCCTAGGGGTGATGATGAGGTTTGGAGAGCCGGGAAGACATAAACAGCAATCATATGCTGAAAGAGCTATCCAAGCTATCCAAGAACCCCTTCTCAAACAAATGGTGGTACAGGAGTTGAAGACTGGGGTGACATCCGTGAAATGGTCAGAAGATTTCCATAATATAGTGAGTAAAGTAAATGAACTCTGGCAAAGAAATCCTCCAAATATTCTAACAGGGTCACCTAAAGTGTCAAAAAAGACGGATCTCCTCTCTGAAGGAACACGTGTCAGAGTCAAGTTAGATGAACCTATTTCTGTACTTGGTAACAAACTTCACGGAAAATTCCGTACAGGAGACATAAGATGGAACCCAAACATTCGTGTAATCAAAAAAATGATACTCTCACCTGAACAACCTCCTACATATCTTCTTAACGGACCACATGGTCGATTAGGTGTATCCAGATGTGCATATACCTGAAAGGAATTGCAAGTAGTTCCTATTAATGAACGTCCTCCACCTGACTCTGTGATAAGAGGACAACCTGAAAGATTTGTTCCTGAGCAGATACTTCGGCATCGCATTAGAAAAGGTCAAGACCAGTATTTGGTTAAGTGGGAGCGCTATCCAGACACTGAGGCTACTTGGGAACCTGCTGACCGGTTAGAGGAGAATGTTCCTGACTTAATTCGCAAATTTTGGGAATAAAAAAAATAGAAGAATTAAAGGGTCTTATTTTTTGTCTCCTTGATTAACATCAGGAACTATTGGGATAAAAACATTCTTCCCATCACAGGTAAGGGCTATATGTTCACATGATTCATGGACATCATAATTGTAACGTTTCAGACACGTTTGGCTTAACCCAATCTCCCTATGCTTGTATCCATCTAAAACTGCAAGGTCCTCAGTGATAATACATTCAGGAGTGAATTTGATTGAAACTCCTTTTACCATGCCGAATGTCCTACCTGTTCCTGGAGCACCAGATATGTTGTGTGTAATACTCTTGTCGATATCCAACCCTAATTCCTCAGCAGCTTCTCTCTGAATAAAAGACGCATTAGCACAAGTGTCTGCTAAACACTGAATTGCTGTCCCATTAACCTCCCCATCCAGTGCTAAAAGATCTTTAGTATTCTCCAAACGAGCTATATCAATATTCATAGGATCGTCTTCCCTAATATCCTCTTCTTATTCCTCCTCAGCTAGATCCTGAACCTCTGAAATCTCTGTGACTTTTCTAGCAGACATCATCTCCTCCTGAAGAATCTCACAGAGTAATTTCCTAAAGTCTGCAGACCTTAACAGGTTTAATAAGTCATTCTTAGTAACAGCTTTTGCAGGTTTAGACTTACTACCAGTAACTTTTACAGGAATCTTAACAGGGGTTGCTTTGCCCCTTAAGGGCACACTAGGAGAGCTAACTGCTGTCTTATTCGGCGATGACTTAAGAAGTTTTGAGATACTCGAACCTACTTTTTTTTTGACCCAACATGAACCATATAGACATCACCATCTTTTTCTCTCAATTCTACCTTTTCACCAAAACTCACAGTATCAATGTCCATAGCATCATCTTTAAGATCGAGGTTTCTCATTGCTCGGGCCAAATCCAGATCATCACGTCTATTTTTAGCCTTCTGAAGTTGATTTGTAAGTATTTTAGATGTCCCACGTTTATATCCCATAATAAGATCAATAGCATTTTGATGATCATCCAAAGTCATAACAGGAGTATCAGGGTCATCACCAACATCAGGTTCTACATAACCATCATCCCAATCAGGATCCTGATGATCCTGAACAACACGTCTCTGTGGTTTTGGTCGAACAGGTTTAATCTGCTATCTATAAACTGGTGGATTATGAACTGGCCGAGCCTGTAATTGTTTAAATTGCACCTGGAAATTCTTGGTAAGTTCTTCAGCCTGAGCCTTAAGCAACTCTTGTAATTGTTCTTGAGTAACCTCAGATGACTTTGATGTCAGTACGACAGGTTCCTGTTTTTCTAACGGAGGTTGAGTTACATCACTGTAATCTGCTCAAAGTCGCCAATTTCTATCTTGTAACCCCAAGCGCATTTCAGCCCTTCTCCGTTCTAAATTTCTCAGATGTTTAACCAAATCATCAGGATTAAGATTACTATACCTTTCTGCTTCAAAAATATTATCAGCCGAAAGACCTCTAAAGAACTGGTCGATAATAAGATCATCAGTTAGTTTTAGTAATTTTCCAGCCCTCTTTACAGTTCTATAAAATGCATCTACTGGCTCATTTTCCTGATAAAGACTGTTAAAACGGATATGTTTCTTTTCATCTAAAATAGTTGGGAATTGTGTTCTAAGCCAATAAAGTGCCTGGTTAGGTTTAACATATCCGCCGATCTGCGGAATGGAAGGAATGCACCATATATATGGTCATCTAATGACGATCAGTACCAGGTTTATAATTTGGGAAATTAAACACGTAAACCATATAAATAATCCCGTGAACCATATAAATAAACACGTGAAGATTATCACTAATAATTGAAAAAAATCTTATTTTCAACAATGGAAATAATGTCCGATAGAGAAAATATTACTGACCAAGAAAATATTGACGAATTTCAAATTGAAGAAGTTTCCACTTATCCAATAAACAATAATATTTTGTATCGTGAACGTGTAAATAAAGTCACTAAACGTAGCTTCAACTATGTAATTATAAAAGAAGGTGTTTATCCTAATGGAACTCAAACTGGACCAAAGAGTCTACAAGATTCAGTAATTTGTAGTAGTACCAGCAACAACAAATGAAAAAAAAGACCAGTTCAACAATATAAGATTCCACATGGTTATATTGTAGAAACAACTTGGGGACGTGCATCCAAAAAGAAGACTATTCGTTGTGAAATTGATTATATTAATGAAATACCACAATTTCGTATTAAATATGGCTCCAACTTTCAATATGTTGTTTTTTTGAGCAAATCTCCATCTGATGCAGCATATAAT